AGAATGATGGAAGCAGTTGCTCTAGGAAAAGGATTATATATTAAATATCATAAGCAAGGAGCAGGTTTATATCTTAACCCCTCAAAAACTAATTAGACGGCTACCCAGACGTGCGCTCACTAATCTAGACCTATTAGAACACGCAAGTGACATTCCATACTTTCGCGGCGTTTTCATGTGAAATAAATTACCTTTGAAACCGAGAAAGATAAAATGTGGAATATTGAATTTGGATAGCTATAGAAATCCTGGAACGCATTGGGTAGCATTTGTAAAGCACAATAAGTACGTAGAATACTATGATAGTTTTGGTAATTTAAAGCCACCGTTAGAATTAGTTAAATATATGCATAACTTACCTATCTGTATAATTATGCACGACATTAAGCGCTTGGTGCTACCAACAGTGGTCATCATTGTTTAAAATTTTTAAGGAATTACTGGAACAAAGCATTTAATAGTGTATAAAATAAATAAACGTATCAGTATAAAAATATCTTTCATTGTGTCTATAACTGAGACAGGAGAACTACGAGGAGACTATGAAAGTGGTCTTTTGCATTTTTCAACTTTCAATTCTATGCCCAATATAGATGTAAAAAAACAATAAATTTTATTATGGTGAAAAAGAAATTATCAAAATTCCTGAAATGTCTTACGAGCTTCAGGAGTGATTATCTAAAAAATAACACTAATAACACTATATTAAAACGAACTTGTAACGGTACTACATTGAAAACAAATATTTTTTATTCTGAAGATGTTCACTTTAATAGAAGCAAATTACTGGTTAAAATTTTAAGCTTTGGTATGGAAACAATAAAAGCAAATACCTATAAGTACTGAATCAAAGTATCCTGTCAGCATTCTATCGACAACCATCGTGCTGACACACGCATATATATCGTTTAAAAAAAATATAAATCACGCCCGCTACCCGTTAGGGATGGGCAGAGACATCAAGGGCAGGTACTCTTAATTTCAATCTTGCCCATCTTCAATATACCACCGATTTGGTCAATAAACTTCCGTCTATATCATCCCGTACTCACTCTGCCGTTCACTACTGCAGCATTAATTTGGTTTATCCCTCTTTCTTCATTCATTCATTTTACATGACCAACTCACCGAAGCATGCTTTTCTTAATCCTGGTCACAAAATCATCTTTTTGTTGTAACACAATTTCTCGCCCTGTCATTCAGATTTAGCCCTTAACTGAATTACCACAGCATTTATTCTACTCTCGTGATTCTTCTGCCGCTTCCGACTTAACAATAACATCTTCAAATAATTTGACATGTCATCGTCGTGTTTAAAAATCGACTCTTTAAAAATAAGAATTCCAATATACAAAGCCTTAAAGTCATAAAAGGCACATCCCTGCACTATATATTTTTTCTATTGAAAGAAATTTTTCTCTAGATGAGCGCAGATACTTAAATGTTTCAGGCCGGTGCCTGGGCCTAGAACTGGTGTCGTCAAAGCGTGCTAGAAGGCTGCGTTGTAGCGTGGCTGTCTTCGTCTGTTGGGCCTTGTTAGTAGCCTGTGGTCTCGCCATCTACCTCATTTGCGTCGCCTTGCCAAGGCAACAGACTCGTCTAAACATAGGTAAATCGTTTACTTATCACTTAGCTCCGTACTTGGCTTTTAGATCTTACTAACAATTCATTTTTCCTTCCTAACTAAGCTAGTCAAATGTGACGAGTCTTTACCTTTCTTATCTTTAGGTATATACTTGGCTTTTATACTTTTATTGATTTCTAAGTTCTTTAATGCAATCTCTATAACAATGTTCTGCCATTTTTAAATATTTGCTGGAGAGAATAATGTTTGCAAATTTAGCTTTTATTCAGTTAAAATAATTACTTTATCTTCACCTTTACACATTCAATTGTTTTATATCACCAACATTTTGACAATTTTTTTTGAAATTTGAAAAAAAAAAACAACTAAAGATTATTTTATAAACTTCTTTTGGCTAGGTTTAAAGGAGCCGTGGTACCTGCGGCGCGGCGACTGGCAGGCGATGCCTCCATATGAAATAGAATTTCTCAAACTGCCGGTATCTTATGTTATCATCGGCCACGCTGCATCTAACTACTGCAACCAACTGTACCCTTGCATAGAGCAAATGCTTGTTATACAGGAAGCATTTTTGCGAAGAGGAATGGGCGACATTGGTCCTAATTTTCTAGTAGGCGGAAATGGATATGTTTTTGAGGGTAGAGGTGCAAATGTCTTCGGTGCAATGGTATCTTCTTGGAACGACAAGAGTATTACAATAATGTTTATGGGAAATTATGTTTTAGATATGCCGGATCAGGCACAGTTCGATCATATAAACGTCCTCTTAGATGTCTTAGTAAAAGAACAAGTGCTACGATCAGACTACACTCTGTATGGCCAGTGTCAAGTACAACCGGACACATGCGCTCCCGGTCATCATATAACGGAGAGAATGAAAAACTTTCCCCATTGGAAACCTCATAACATAAGTGGATGCATAAGTTGACGTAATAATAGATAATGATTCTAAAATTGATTATGAATGAATGGTACTTTTTGCATTATTTTGCTTGAATATTTATGGCGAGAAAATCGCATGTATAACGGAAAATATGGTGACTTTTAACTAGCTTTATAGCCCTTGGATAAGACTGATAAGACGTCACACTAAATATGGACGGTCTGTCTCCCCATCGTGCATTAGTGAATGCAATTTCATACGAATTACTCATACGATACCTGATGTTATAAGAAAATAACTTAAATACGAAAAACAAAACTATATTAAACATAAAAACACGAAAAAATTATTTATTTTCTGCTTTCATTTCATTATTCATATTAGTATTGTTCAATCTCTTAGTAGTTAATAAAAATGACTCTTCACCGTTTCAAGTCCTGTTATAATTTTTGTATATAATACATAGAAAAATTAAATAAAATGCTTTTAATTTTAGAATGTATATAGAAAATTAATAATTAATTTAATACTGCATACAAAATAAATGTTTCCTGGCTTGGAAATAGACTAGAAAAGTTTGGTACTATTTAAATTTAACTCTTTGATTTTGCCCGCTACGCTATAAAACACCAATACTACTAACTGTGTCACTTAAAAAAACCAAAACCAAAGTTACCAGCTGTGAAATTCGATGCGAATGTGGGTGTGACTTCCCGCTGGTACATTAAGGTTGATAATAATGTCAAAAAATATATGAACTAAAGTTACCAGCTGTGAAATTCGAACCGAATGTGGGTGTGACTTAGCGCAGGTACAGTAAGGTTGACAATAATGTCCGCTTTTTTAGTAAGTACTAGCGATCCGCCCCGGTTCGCAAAGGTGATTTCAGGTTCTTGACAACAGCGCCACCTATCAGGACCAATTGTGAATCTAAGCCATCCAGGACCCACTCAAACACACAAAAAATTTCATAAAAATCGATTCGAATTTTCGAAATTTTTTAGAATTTTTGCGAGACTAACGGACAGCAAATGATTTTTATACATACAGGGTTATTTTGCAATAACCGGCCAAACTTGCAGAGAAGGTTCAGAATAAGCAATATAGCCAAATGATGAAGAAACAAGAATTTTAAAAAGTCTCAAATATTCTGTTCTTTTTATTTTTAAATTCAAAAGGCGTAGTAATTCTTTATTTTAAATGATTTTACGTAAAAACGTTGTTGTCTATAAATCATATTCAATTTGGGATAATTAGTAAAAGTAGAAGCCTCATTTACTCGTATTTTAAAAAAGTGCAATAACGGTATATCGTTATTTATATATTTGAACTTAAGTTTAAAATTTTGCTACTCTTTGATAAATAGCCCTGTATAATATAGAAATATATAAAAAGATATGTGAAAAAAAAAATGGAAAACTTTTAAGTTAAAGTTCACTTGAATACAAAAGCTGGTGAGTATAATAACAGACAATGTTTATGGTGAATGTCTAAACGTTTCCTATGCTTATTGTACCTACCACCTGTAGCTACAGGTGTATATACCTAGAGCTTAAACGTCAACAAAAAAATAATTTTAATACTAAAAAAGTTGCCAGTATACGCTTAAAAGCGCTTTTAAGATATCGATTATATCGATTAAAAAAGGAAATCCTAAATTCATAAGAACGGTGAGCAGAAGTGGCAATGGGCCCGCCATATTACTCGAAAAACCGACAACCGATGTGAGAGTAAGGTTCTCAAGAGACGACCATTGGTATTGTATTCGGCGACCCTCCTCTAAACCCGATCTGATGAAACACACAAGTACCAGGTAGTCGATGGATACAGGTGGCTCAGGACCGTACTTAAGGCTCAGCACCTATGTTCAGAAACGGAGTTGTGATGGGCTATTGCTATATTGATAATTTTATCCATCATTTTAATTATTATCTTCGTAAGTTACTGCTCAATCTGTCTCATTTGTTCGACTTTCTTTCATGTGTTCCAACAAAAATTTTAAGCGCAATGTCTAAAGCTATTTTTTTTTATAGGAGAGGGGGCAAACGAGCATGCGGCTCACCTGATGGTAAGTGACTACCGCCGCCCATGAACAACTGCAACACCAGGGGAATCGCAGATGCGTTGCCGGCCTTTTAAAAAGGAGTACGCTCTTTTCTTGAAGGTCCCTAAGTCGCATCGGTCCGGAAAAATCGCTGGTGGTAATCGATTCCACAAGGAGGTCGTGCGAGGAAGAAAACATCTTCTAAATCGCATAGTGGTGGACCGCCAATCATCCAGATGGTGTGGATGGTATCGGGAGTTCTGCCGCGATGTTGCTCTTCCTCTTGCGTTTCACTTATCATTATTTACGTTACGTACTTCATATTATTATATCCTGAATAAATGCAACACACACATATACATTTACACAATAAAATAAAATCCAACTTCAGACGTCAGAAAGCTAAACAAAATTACCACCAAGATTAAACACAGTCGCTCCACCAATTATAGGTAATTTAAGCATCTATTAAATGGTACGGTTTACAGATATGCCATTCCCTGTGTACGTGTGGTATATTATGAAGAACAGTTCCCGAGCCGAGAAACTCTGCTGCCTCGTTGCCCTTCTGGTACTGATCACATGTGTCACACTGATTGTATTCTTTGCTGTACAAGCCACAAATAACCCGGAGGATTATATAGACATAGGTAAGCTTTTTAGTTAATAGTTGTTACAGGTAGCAAGCTCTCAAAGAGTTATGTTTTCTTTGCTTAATTGTTTTTAATTCGTTATCGTTATTGCTAGAGTTTTGTTGTTTTTTGTTAGTTGTAAACTTATTTTTATTACAATAAATAAGTAAATACCTAAATTAAAATATTAGGTTGTTGCATACCTAGGTATAATAACGCTACTTTCGGTGGTGTAAACTAATATGTTCGTACATAAAGTTGGCTTAGTTGTCTGGAACGCTTCTTAACGCGCAGTACTGTACTGTGTTTGCTAATTTTAAAATTAGGTACGGTTTAAACACTACATTTTTGGATAATTTACCACTCACGTCCTGGCCTAAAGGAGTATTGTGCAACTATTATTAAGCGAATATGCCAAATATTTGGTGGCCAAAGGACAGAGTATATTTGATAAATTTAAGCAGAGGATTAACAGACACGAAGTCCAACCAAATAGGAAACCAGTTGATGCAATTCTGAAGCTAATAAAAAAAACCCGGTCTCGAAACGTCATTTTTTTCGGGAGTTATCGTCACCACATACAAAATCAGCATTCGGAAGTCCGCGTAAAATTTTTATCAAACCGTTTTTTTAGTAATTTCTAAAAAATATAAAATGATTTTTTATAAAAATATATGATATGTTAATTAGTGTTTTCTTGATATACGGCTGGTCATATTATCATATAAGTGCAATATGGTTATTATAGACGCATTTTACGAACACAAAATTGCTTGACCTAATAACGCTTCGTTTAAGAGGTTGCACGCCTCTTAAACGAAGCGTTATTAGGTCAAGCAATACTGCGCGTACGGTGCGGGTGAAATGTGCTAGGTTTCATTTTCTTATAGAATGAGGGTGATAAACGAACACACATTCTCAAATACGGTGCGTGCTGCGCGTACGGTGCTAAAAAATGTGCAATCACCCTTATGGTTGTAGTATCTAAGTATAAATAATTTAAAACAATTATTTCTAAATTTAACGATTAATGAATTCACTAGTAATTTAACCGTGTTTTAACCAATGTATATATTATATATTCCTTTTCCTTTTAAATTTTGGAACATCCAGAGCAAGCGTGCACTCAGCCGCCTGAGTTGCCTCGGGGTATGGACTGGACTGAAAATCAGTGCTATGACTGTGTCCGATCCTTTTCACAATTGCATGCTGCAGCACAGGGTTTTTAAGTGTATTTTTTAAATTAATAACATTTGTAAATTCTGTTTAATTTAGTTGCATTTTTTGCATATTTTTTATTTGTTACGCTGCAGGCTATTGTTAAGCCGGAATAAACACATTTTTCCTTTCTCTGAGCATTAAAGGTCAGTAAATTTCATATCAACTTATATTTTCGGCCACTAGCAACAATTTCTAAAAAAGTTGGTTTCTCTACTTGTAAAATTCTTCACAAGTAATTTGTTTGAAGTTGTGTTGCGTGAATAATATTGCTCGTGAGCCTAGGCTTAATATATATTTCTTGGCGCCTCTATTTGTCTACGTTTGCTTTGTTATCAATATAAATTATCTAGAAGTTTATTATTAATATAAATTAAAATAATCTAGATAGAAATGCAATCTCTTTCTTATTATTCTCAAATTGACTCAAAAGTAAGGCTTTGACTACCTAGTCATCTAGTGTAATGTTTGGTGTAATAATTTTGATTCGATCGATTCGAAATTTTACTCAAAACTATTACATATTTAAGGCATATCTGTTCTTTTTCTATTTCCGCAAAGATCCACACGAATGGAACATATCACGTGAGATGTGGTTGGCGCAAAACTTCAGTGGCATCGCCACAACCGAGCGTTTCGATCCTCTGCGACTAGTTATAATACAGCACACCGTCAGTCCAGAATGCCCGCGGTTCGTTCTTTGTGCGGCAGAATTACGCACAATGCAGTCTTGGTATATAAAGTACTACAACTATGACATTCCGTAAGTACTTTTCAGTTCATTTCATTTAAGAATAGATATTTAAATTTCACAGATGGGTATTATTATCTCACCAAACATAAATGTGAAAAGAAGCAAAGTTAGGCACGACTTCAGAGTTATGGGGTTCGCTGATAAAAGAGTTGACATGTGAAACGGACGCCATGCTCCATGGCATTTTTGGGGTCATATAGTTTATCGCCATCATCATTTTTAGAAGGTATGCAACGTTCCTTAAACTGCTCTTTCACATACATGCTTCTGATGGAAATTAATTTTTTTAAAGTTTTTATCCTTATATTAGGTAATTTAAATAAATACATGATCTTCTATTTAAATTATAAGAATCAAATGTCGAAAAAGTTTTTGCTGCGGCTAGGTTTTAGGCACATACTGTACTAAAAAAAGTACCTACTTGAAACTAACCGCATCAGTAACTGTAAATACCTGTCGACTGAACCGACTGTCGACAATTCTTAGTTTTTTTTGTATACTTTGATTTACTCATGTCATGTTTCAGAATCGGCCTAGGTTTTTGATAAGTGAGTCAAGAATCAGTCAGTTAGTAATAAAAATGCTAATGAAGTTGTAAGAACTTAACTGTGTAATACCTCTCGACCAAACCGAATATCCATAATTTGTAGTTTTTTTTTCTTTTGTATACTTTGATACTTTGATTTACTCAAGCCATGTTTCAGAAGTGGCCTAGGGTTTTGATGAGTGAGTCAAGAATCAGTCAGTTAGTAATAAAAATGCTAATGAAGTTGTAAGATTTAACTGTGTAATACCTCTCGACCGAACCGAATATCCATAATTTGTAGTTTTTTTTTCTTTTGTATACTTTGATACTTTGATTTACTCAAGCCAAGTTTCATAAGTGGCCTAGGTTTTTGATGAGTGAGTCAAGAATCAGTCAGTTAGTAATAAAAATGCTAATGAAGTTGTAAGAACTTAACTGTGTAATACCTCTCGACCGAACCGAATATCCATAATTTGTAGTTTTTTTTTTTTTGTATACTTTGATTTACTCAAGCCAAGTTTCAGAAATGGCCTAGGTTTTTGATGAGTGAGTCAAGAATCAGTCAGTTAGTAACAAAAATACTAATGAAGTTGTTAGAATTTAATTTGCTTATTTCCGCGTAATGTAATAAAATGATGTGTCTTGCCCAGTTTAAAGATCACCTTCTAGCACCAATACCCAGCACCACCACTCCAACACCACCATACTAAGAACGACACACCACCCTTGATAATACGATGTGACTAATATTACTTAGCGGTCAGCCACCGCAGAGTTTACTTTTAAAAACTTTACAAACTTTACCTGAGGATGCTACAAGTTTATGCGAAACACGTGTTGTGTTATCGATGGTCGTGTTGCGTACATAGTACGGTGGTGTTTAGGGTGGTGGTGCTGAAAGGTGCTCTTCAAACTGAGAAAGATAAATAATTTTATTTCATTACGCGGAACATGCCAATTTCATAAATGTATAGTGACAGAAGGAGTAATACTATACTAAGTCTTTTAAATACTGGTTTACAGAATTCCTCTGGCGACATCCCGCACATTTATCATTGAAAATTATCATTAAACTCGAACAACGTAGTAACGAATGATCGCTGAGCTAATACTAATCTATACATATAATAAAACTGTAAATAGCAGATGTCTGTACATTTTATATTTTTGTAATAAAAGTGATTGAGGGGTACTAAAAATAAGTAATTAAATACATTTCTACCATTTTTAGAATTTTCTGTCTGTCTGTCTGTCTGTCTGTCTGTTTGTTTGTTAACGTATCACGTGTAAAGTACTAATTTATATCATAAGAATAGTTAAGGAAATTATTAAGTGTATATTCAGGTTACATTTAGTCTTTATTTCATTAAAATTGGTTAATTCCATCAAAAGTTATGACAAATATTCTGAAGTATGGGTACTAAGTATAGGTACGAATTTGTTCAATAGTGGCTTTGGATGAGTCATCAAGTACATTTTAAAATTAATATCATATTATAAATCATAATTAAATGATGTAAAATAATGTTCTATAATGATATAATTATATCTAAAACGCAGTAAACAAAAGTATTAGATAAAGAACGTAATAAATATATACAAAATATATTAACCTTATTATCTAAACTAAATTAAAGTACAATAGTTAACCAATTTCATCGATAGATGGTGGTGTGGCACAAATGTGATACAAAAAGGCAGGTTAAATATTTTTCCTGTAGATGAGTTTCATATTTGCTTCTAACCTTTATATTAACGACACGCTACCCTACTGCGTGTTGACAATCTCATTTATTTTTTATTTTTTTACCGCCGAGTACTCTACGAGTATGTGGTAAATCAAATTTTAAGAGCTATTAACAATTTCGTTTTTCGGCGAGGATCAAACTTTCTTTTTTGCTTACTATGCAGGCACTGATTTATAAGTTCTTTTATGTTTTTTATTGTATCAATCGTGTCAATTAATCTCTTATTTTTAGAATTGATATTAACAGCGCCATCTCTCTTTAAATCTATACATATAATAAAAATGGTAATAACATGTTGTGTCTGTTTCTGAATATTGTATAGTATATTAATTTGTGACTAAAATCATTATGGGGACTGTAAATCATTAAATAAGTACATTTTTATAATTTTTAGAATTGTACTATCTGACGGTCTGTCTGTTTGTTTATGGACGCATGATGTTTTGAGTAAACATCTTTTTTTCAATGAAATCCTTAAGAAAATCATAAAGCGTATTATCAGGTTCATTTAATCTTTGTTTTATTGAAATTGGTTAATTCTATCAAAAGTTATGATTATTATTTTGAAATGTAGGTTCGAATTTGTTTAATGGCGCCACAAAATCTCAGAAATAGTAATAAAAAGATTCGTGTGTAAAAAAAACGTTCTATTATAATATATTTCGTATCGTTCTATTATAGTACTTAAAACACAGTAAAAAATATGTTTTCCTTAAATTAAAAAAGAATGTTTTCTCACAAAGAACGTATTAGATGGCGTTGTACAAATTACAACCTTTTCTGAATTGCGGTGTTAAGATTTTTCGCAGGTGAATCGTATTGAGACTCACTGAAATAATTTATGTCCATGAGTCTGACGAAGTAGCAAGCCTGTTAAGGAATATATACAGTATAATCTATGCCTGCCTGTAAGAGCCGTGTAGGCTAACAAGCTAACAACACATCACAAATATCATCAGAAACAATAACTAGAAAAAAGAGATATTGAAATATTTCAATTATTCAACAAAACTCGACTAAAAGCAGCAAAATTGCAATAAATGTCGTGATAGTATTGTTTTATACCCATAATCCCTCTAATACCAAATAACTTTCCTTTCAGTTTTAAGTAAAGTAAAGTTGCAGCCTATTTACGTCCCATTGCTGGGCACAGGCCTCCTCTCATTTCTGAGAGGGTTTTAGGGCAAGGAAATGTCCACTGCGCTGCCCCAATACGTGTTGGCGAACTTCACATGTCATCGAAATATTTTTTTTTATTTCTCAGACATGCCGGTTTCCTCACGATGTTTTCCTTCACCACCGAGCACGTGGTAAATCAGCACTTAAAATTGCAATTAACAATTTCATTGGTGCCGGTGGGGATCGAACCCGGGTTGCTCGAGTACTGTGAAGCTTACAGCGAGCGCTAACCATCTGACCTACCACGGCTCAGGCTTCAGTTTTAAGATAGGGATAATAACATCGATGATGACATGGATGTTGGCATCGATAGCTCAACATCGATGTTCGATGTTTAGGCTGCTCAAAACATCGATGTTGACCATTATCGATGGTTTTTGTATATGTGTAGATACTTACACATTGTTTAAAAATTATGTGGGTATACACAGCAAGGGAAAAGTAACAATTAACTTGAATATCAATTTACGTAGAATAGTTATTATGCGACAACCGACAACGACACTACCAAATAAAGCGAAAGCAGTGACCATTGTGACATTACAGGAGACACTTAACAATTAAGTTTGACTCACCATACTGACATTTTTTTAGGTTAACGATGCGTTCAGAAATTCTGAATTATTCAAAATTTTTAATTTTCAGAGTAGATGCAAGATTTAGTTGATATTGATTTCACGAGTTCCCATTGTTTGCAAGTTCCCAATTATCGATTATGGGTTCATTGACGTCGATGTTTCGATGTTTGACATGTTAAAACATCGAAGTTTTAATTTTTAGCATCGATGATCATCTAACATCCCTATTTTAAGTTTCCCACTCAGCGTGTGTTATGCGACGATCGTAAATAAAACGCAAGGTCAAACTTTACGCGTTTCAGGAGTGGACCTCAGTACTGATTGTTTTGCACATGGCCAAGTCTATGTTGCTTTTTCCCGCGTTAGTAGTCCCCGTAACCTTTTTCTGTACGCCCCGGCTAAGTCTACTTCTATCGTCGTTTACACAGAAGCTCTATCATAAACGACTTAGAACTTTGAGCATATCGATGTATTTTGTTACCACTTATTCATACAGTAATGATATAAATCGTTTAATATTCTCTTACCCTAAACGTCAAATTCTTTAAGTAAAACCTATATTCGCGAGCTACGCCGCGGGCACAGCTAGTAATGAATAAATTTGTAACATACAATAGTTCTTAATAATTACAACAAAAGTACTGGGCAATCTGTCTTTTGGGAAAAGTAATTAAATAGTCGCAAAACAATTTTGAACCATCTAACAAAGCATATTCTTATTCATATTATCAACATTATAACAAATTAACACTTAGTATTATTCAAACATAAGCTGAGGGACTTACCTCCTCTCGGCACCCGGGGACCTCTAAGCAACCACAAATAAGTGTATTTATTCTATGTAAAAAAAACTGAACCATAAACCATAACTAATAAGGTTTTAAGTTATGACTGTTCATATTTTTCAAACATCTATATGAAGGTAAGAGACGAACACTTTAAAAATATAATTTTTTCAGGTACAACTTCATAATTGGTAACGATGGACGAGTGTACGAGGGACGAGGATGGGGAAAGCCAGGAGCGCATGCCCTCATTTACAATCGTTGCTCTTTGGGCATCGGTTTTATTGGTAAAATTATACACTGTTTTAAATTTAAATATTCCGCTTGGAAAGTAATTAATTAAGAAACATTTACTATCCATTAAATTTTGGTCTAAATCATTCTGTAATCTATTTTGTTGCGGAATCTTTGTTTAGACGAAATATCAAAAACCTTACCTTGTTGTGGCGGCGAAGATAATATATATCCATTAAACCCATTGTTCCCATGGGTGTCGTAAGATGCGAGAGAGGGAATCTTAGCCAGTTGAAGGGCGGTGGCCCCGCGATTCCTGGCTATGGTAGCAAAGATGGTAACGACAGTGGTGCTAAGAATCTCTTGCGGAGACTGTCATTAACAACGTAGTCAAGATTGGGAGTATGTCGACAAAGGTTGCATGTCTTATACTCAGAATCACCAAACAAGTACCGCCTACCTTGTCACATCTAGTTTATTTTTATAAAACTGAGTGAAAGTGAACACTATTTCTCCATATACAGTGTGTCTTTCGGTAAAGTGCAAGCCCGAAGGGGGGTGAAACTAGACTGTAAATTATCTACAAAAAAAATAGTAAAAAATATTTTACTTTTTATTGATGAATTAAGATTGTTATATTTTATGTGGCCGTGTAGTGGCGGTTAAGAATATCCACTACCCCATATCTTCCCGTGGGTGTCGTAAAAGGCGACAAAGGGAAACAGGCAGGAGATGGGCAGCAGCATCTTCCTGATAATAGCCAAAATAACAATAAAAAAAAAACTGCGGTTGCCAACCCGCTCGCCAAGCGTGGCAACTATGGTAATATACCCCCCATGAGCAATGACAATAATAAACGGCCCCCAGTCCCCGGCGGCCCCGCTATTCCTGGCTACGGTGGCGACCATGGTAACGGCGGGGCAGGGGGTGCTAAGAATCTCCGGTGGAGGTTCGGTTGCCACCTACGACGACTCGACCTGGCAACATACAACGCACGCACCCTGAGGACTGACGAGAAGATTGTGGAGCTGGAAGAAGAGATAGACAAGTTACGCTGGCATATTATAGGATTATCCGAAGTCCGAAGAGAGGGGGAGGACACGGTAATCCTCGAATCCGGCAACTTGCTCTATTACCAAGAGGGCGACCATCTGTCCCAAGGAGGTGTCGGATTTATCGTCCACAAGTCTCTCGTTAACAACGTTGTAAAGATTGAGAGTGTGTCGACGAGGGTTGCGTACCTTATACTCAGAATCACCAAACGGTATTCGCTGAAGGTCATACAGGTTTACGCACCAACCTCGGCACACCCCGATCAGGAGGTGGAGGAAATGTATGAGGATATCTCTAGAGCCATGCATTCCTCCAAAACCCAATATACGGTGTTAATGGGAGACTTCAATGCAAAACTAGGCACAAGAGAGAACGGTGAGCTGAAAGTAGGGAAATTTGGAATAGGGCAACGGAACCCAAGGGGCCAGCAGCTGGCCGACTTCATGGAGAAAGAGGGACTCTTTATGATGAACTCTTTCTTCCAGAAGCGGCCCCACAGGAAGTGGACCTGGTCGAGCCCCGACGGTTCGACAAAAAATGAGATTGACTTCATTATGACGACCAGACGACAACTGTTCAGTGATGTCTCAGTGATCGCGAGGGTGAAAACCGGCAGCGATCACCGAATGGTTAGAGGCACACTGAACCTAAACGTTAAGTTGGAGAGGTCTCGTCTAATGAAATCAACGCTCCGTCCCCCTCGTGCTCTAATCCAAAGTCCCGAAACCTTTCAGCTCGAGTTACAAAACCGTTTTCAGTGCCTAGAAGACTGCAATGAAGTGGACGATTTGAATGACAAGCTCGTGGAAACTGTCCATGCGGTCGGAGCTAAGTTCTGCAAGACCCGCCGCAGAAGAACACAAAAACTCTCCGATCACACTCTTAATCTCATGGCTGTTAGACGGGAGATAAGGCTACATTCTTCAACAGATTTGACAGCATACAGGCAATTGAACAGACAGATCTCCAAATGCATGCGGCGGGACCTACGCAAATTCAATACAGCTCGTATTGAAGAAGCGATCGAGCGGAACCAAGGCTCCAAAGTCTTTGCCAGAGATCTGTCTGCCAGAAAGCGCCAACTGTCAAAGCTGAAGACAGAATGTGGCAGCATCGTTTCCGGGGCACCTGAGATTTTGAGTGAGATTGAGAGGTTCTATGGGCAGCTGTACACGTCATCGTTGGAGCCGCACGCAAGTGTGAGTAACGATCCAAGAGCGAGTCTTATCCGACATTATTCCGATGATATCCCGGACGTCAGTCTGAGCGAGATTAGAATGGCTCTCCAGCACCTTAAAAACGGCAAGGCCCCAGGCGAGGATGGAATTACAGCGGAGCTTCTGAAAGCGGGTGGAAAACCGGTACTTGAAGTCCTTCAGAAGCTCTTTAATTCCGTCCTCCATGGTGGCATTACACCGGAGGCGTGGAGCAGAAGTGCGGTGGTCTTGTTCTTCAAGAAAGGCGACAACGCTCTCTTGAAGAACTACAGACCGATTTCCCTTCTGAGCCACGTCTACGTGCTGTTTTCGAGAGTCATTACGAATCGTCTCGCGCGCAGACTTGACGACTTCCAGCCTCCCGAACAAGCCGGTTTCCGAAAAGGCTTTAGCACCATAGACCACATACATACCCTTCGGCAAATTGTACAGAAGTCCGAGGAGTACAATTTGCCACTATGTCTGGCGTATGTGGACTATGAGAAAGCCTTTGATTCCGTCGAAATTTGGGCGGTGCTGCAGTCCCTTCAGCGATGCCAAGTTGACTGTCGGTATATCGAAGTGTTGAAGTGCTTGTACAGTAGGGCTACGATGGCTATCCGAGTACAGAACCAGAGTACGAAACCTATCCAATTGCAGAGAGGTGTAAGACAGGGTGACGTCATATCCCCGAAACTCTTTACCGCTGCATTGGAAGATGTTTTCAAGCTTCTGGACTGGAAAGGATACGGTATCAACATCAATGGCGAGTACATCACTCGCCTTCGATTTGCTGACGATATAGTCCTTATGGCAGAATCGCTGGAGGACCTAAGCACTATGCTCAATGACCTCAATAGTGTTTCCCAACGGATAGGTCTTAAGATGAACATGGACAAAACAAAGATCATGTTTAATGTCCATGTCACACCTATGCCGGTAGTTGTTGGGAACACTAAGCTCGAAGTTGTTGACGAGTATGTTTACCTGGGACAAATAGTCCGACTAGGTAAGTCCAACTTCGACCGAGAGGTCAATCGACGGATTCAACTCGGTTGGGCAGCGTTCGGGAAATTACGGCACATCTTCTCGTCAGGTATACCTCAAAACTTGAAAACGAGACTGTACACCCAGTGCGTGTTGCCAGTGATGACATACGGAACTGAGACGTGGTCCTTCACTGCTGGCCGGATGAGGAAGCTCAAGGTCGCTCAGCGAGCTATGGAGAGGGCTATGCTCGGAGTTTCTCTGCGTGATAAACTCAGAAATGAGGATATCCGCAGTAGAACTAGAGTGACCGACATAGCCCAACGGATTAGTAAGCTGAAGTGGCAATGGGCCGGCCATATAGCTCGAAGAACCGACAACCGATGGGGAAGAAAGGTTCTCGAGTGGCAGCCTCGTACCGGTAGGCGAAGTGTAGGGCGTCCCCCCACTAGATGGAGTGACGACCTGGTAAGATATGCAGGAAGTCGATGGATGCAGGTGGCTCAGGACCGTGCTTTGTGGCATTCTTTGGGGGAGGCCTATGTTCAGCAGTGGACTTGTGAAGGGCTGTAATGATGATGATGATATTTTATGTAGACTCTATGTACAAAAAATAACGGTTTCTTCCAAAGTATTGGATCGATTACTTTAAAATAAAAAATGAAATGTTATGCCACTTGGCGGTAAGGGTAAAAAACAATGAGGGCTAATAATTTTCTGCTCACCAGATGTCGCTAGTTGACACTGAGGTAAAGTTTTATGTTACACAATGTCATTTAATCGAGAAGTTAGTTTTTAATAAAAGTTTATCAGTTTCTAGAGTTATGATACCGGGTGTTTGTGAAACGCTCCCGAAAACGAAGACAGACGATAGTACTAACGATACCTTTGATGATGAGTCAGAAAGAAAATTGGTCCGGAGGGAAAAAAATCATCTTTTCACAACGTTTTAATAGCTTTATTCACGCTCCATCATGTTAGTGCAGCTAAATGAAACGATAATTTCATTAAAAAAAAATCATGAAAATACTTAAACATAAAACCAGCTGTGAAACTTAAAATAAAATCACCTCACAATAGGGTTAGTATTCTCGCATCTTTTTTTGCGCCTAATACAAGGTTGCCCTTTGGAAGCGGGGGAGGGAGGTGCTGAATGCTCATAGCATACAACGCGGTCGGCTGCGTGGTTATGTGGGAGTCACTAAGAAGTGCCTACCCACTACACACCACCTGTAGGACTGGCTTTAGCCTGTATGGCCTTTCTGCAGAATAGAATAGAATAGAATGATTTTTATTCAATATTGATTATTACATAATACTTATTGAAAGTCATTATTTTATTTACCACTGGTTCGGAAAATACCTCTGTCCTGGGAAGAACCAGCAAGAAACCCAGCGGGACTTTTTTTTTAAACATAATTTCACTTAACAATAATTTTGTTTATACAATTTTAAATGAATTTTCATAGAACCAGCATGGTGGCGATCACCTTATTCCCAGGGGTTATTTTCATTCATGTATTCCTTGATATTATAATAACCCTTTTTGTACAGTTTTTCTTTAATATAACTTTTAAACTTGTTTATTGACAAACTTTGAACATGTTCTGGGATTCTGTTGTAAAAGCGTATACATTGCCCCATAAATGAATTACTAATTCTGTGGAGTCTAGTAAGTGGCATTACAAGCTTATGTTTGTTCCTAGTGTTTAAGGTATGAACATCCTTATTCTTATTAAAGCTATTTATGTTCTTATGTACATACATTACATTTTCATAAATATATTGCGATGCCAAAGTTAATATGTTTATTTCTT